TGTGTGCTTGGATGGGCACTTATAAGGTTCAGACCTCGCCCTATCACCACCTGCTTGACGGGATGGTTGCACGGTGGCATGAGACCTGACCTTCATGTTGTGTCAATGGGTGTGTGTAGACCCAGGCTGATAGCCGCGTTTGTTGTGCATTCGTCACACTTGAAACCGTTTTTTTTCTTTTCCCCCCAGGCGGGATCCCTTCATCCCCACTATCCAAGGGCCGGGTGGCTGATGTGTCCGACGAGCAGGGGCGTGTGTCTGCGGAGGTCGTGCCTCAGGGGTTTTCGGGTTTTTCGCCCACAGGATCCCAGCACCTGGTACCCTTGGAGTCGCAGGTTGCGCCGACCAGACGTGGATTGGGAAGAGTGGAGCAGGCGTCACCCACTCCTGCTTCTCCCATTTGTTCTTTTCCCGGGAGAGGCCATACCCGTTGGACCTTATTCAAGGCCGCCCGTTGAAATGACCCTTCCCCCACCGTCTTATTTATCCCTACGCCGTTGGAGATCGCAAACATGATCATACACACAACAACAAAAACCGCCATTTGCCACTAAGTGGCGGTGACGTCACTACAACGCTTGTGCCAGGCTATGTGCACCTTGAGGCCACGTGAAGTGTCGAACGCCCGCTGGCAGGAGGTCACGGGGCAGACCCAGAAGCCACAGGTCGACTGAATGAGAAGACTGGCTGATGCACCATCTTTTCCCCCTACTGTGCCAACTTGCTGTGCTTTAGCCACCCGGCGCTCCGCTCGTTGTTGTGAGCGTCGCTCCTCATGCCCTATGTTGTTTTTGGCGGGGGACTGCCTCGAACTGCCCTGTAGCGTCCTTCACGAGCCTCCTCCACAGAGGCCGATCTTGACACCGCTGGTACCAGTCATCGGCAAGTCCACTCAACTCCACATCCTCCTGTACCACATCACTCCATCTCTTCTATAGCCCGTGCCGCGCCTGTTTCGCCCCCTCAATCCGGCCAAGCAAAAGCTGTTTAGGCATGCGGTGGCTGGGCATGCGGGCCATATGGCCCAGCCAAGGCGGCCTTGCCTGCTCCTCACACAATCCAGCCTGGTTAAACCCAGGATGGATCGTAGGCAAGCCAGCCTAAATGTTTCTAACCGGCGAAAATATTCCATTAGGGGGGTCCACTTTTCACAAGCGTAGTGAAGGGAGAGAATGACTGTGGCGAGAAGACCTGAAGCTTCATGCGGAGCGACAGACCAGGTAGCTTCCACACAGTGTTATGCAACCGATGATTCGGAGTGAGACCTCTGCTGTTAAACTGGAGCCGGTCATGAGCACACTGCCCAGGTATGGGAAACTCTCCACTCTCTCCAAAACTGCCCTATCACCAATTGGGAGTTGTGGGGGTGGAGTGTCCGATGGTACAAATACCCAGGCAGGTGCTAAGTTTTGGTGGGGCTAATGGTAAGACCCCATCTCTTAGTGGCAAGCTCCAGGTTCAGCAGCAGTGCCACCAACTCCTCCTCTGAGTGAGCAGCAATTACCAGATCATCGGCATACCTAACATGGTTGAGCAATAGGGAGCCATCCCTTGACCACACCCGGGCATCGATCAGCCTCCCATTATATCTGTACCATATGGAGATTCCCCCGGTACAGCTATTGAACTCTTCACGAACTACGTGGTCAAAATAGATGTTAAATAATGTGGGAGCCAGAGGACATCCCTGTCGCACCCCAAGGTGTACAGGGAATGGCTCTGACTCCCGGCCACGTAGTTTTACCCGGGCCCGCTCACCATCATGAAGGTCCTTAATGATCATGAGCAGAGGGTCAGGTACTCCAAAAGCACGAAGAACAACCCAGAGCCCAGGCCTACTGATGGTATCATAGGCCTTGACCAGGTCAATAAAGCAGAGATGTAGGTCTTGCTGGAATTCCCTACACCTCTGCTGTAGCAGACGGACAGAAAATTATAGCATCTGTGCAGGACCGCCCTTTCCTGAAACCGCATTGAGGCTCCGCAAGCCTCTCCTCAGTGTGCCTGGCAAGGCGATGTTGAATAATCCTTGCCAGGACCTTTCCCAGCACACTGAGGAGTGAGATGCCCCTGTAGTTGTTACAGTCTGTGCAGTCCCCCTTCTTAAAGAGGGGGACCACCAGGACATCCTTCCAATCCTGCAGAACCCGTTCAGTGGTCTAGACTGTTATGATTTCATATATGGCAGTCTGTGCACAAACGACACCCTCCCTCAGCATTTCGCTTGGGAGATCATCTCTGCCCGCTGCCTTTCCTGGTCTCAGACTCCGGATCGCCTTCAGTACTTCCTCAACAGATGGCACCTCAGCCAGCCACTCACAGCGGGTGACTTCTTCTAATATTTGAGGCACCGCAGCCTCAGCAGGGTCATCCTCACTTTGTGCCACGATGTTTTCCTGGCTGAGGGATTTTCCCTCCCCCAGGACCTCACAGAAATGCTCAGCAAATCTGCAAACCTGTTCCTGGGGGTCGGAGATTGGATCACCGTTTTTTCCGCTAATGATGGTAATAGGTGTGGCGCTGCAGGTTACTTTTTTGATAGAGTTAAATAGAGATTTGTGATCGCGGGCCACTGAGGCAGACTCCATCTCCTCAGCAACCCACGACCACCACCCATCCTTGCAGCGCCTCACGGCTCTCCGAACCTCCGAGCGAAGGCTGCGGTAAGCCTCCTCATTCTCTGACGTGGGATTCTGTAGCCGATGACAGTGGGCCTGTCGCTTTTTTTCAACTATCCTGAACACCTCCTCTGTCAGCCAGGGTCTCTGGGGAGGTCTGGACCGCGTACCCAAAGCAGCCATTGCAGCTGCATGAGTCACAGTCCTAAACCTCGCCCATTTACCCTCGACATCAGGAGGAGTCGGGGACGATGCCAATCCCAGCCGCAAGCGATGATGAAATTCTCGCTTGCAACTTTCATCAGCTAGCTGAGACCAGGCCACTTTAGGTTGGAATGGGGTCCTAGGTGTACACCCACCACCGGAGTGGAAGAATGGCAGGCGCATCTTACAGATGGCTAGTCAATGGTCAGAGGGCAGATCAGCTCCACGGTAGGTCCTGGTGTCAAGGACATGGGCTCGCATCCACTGGTCCGTCACTATGTAGTCCAGCAGATGTTCTTGCTTGGACCCGGCATGCATCCATGATGTTGTGTGGATGCGCCAATGCCGGAACAGCGTGTTGGTAATTACAAGCCCATGGGCTGCACAAAAATCTAGCAGCCTCCTACCGTTGTTATTGAGCTGATCTGGCCCAAGCCCTCCAATCACTCAAGACCAGGTGCCAGCATCATGACCAACTCGGGCATTGAAGTCACCCAACATGATGACTCTATCCCGAGGTGCCACTTTAGCCAGCACCTGTGACAGGAGGTCATTGTAGGCATCTGACTCATCGGCTTTGCCTGCATCCCTCCACGGATGTTCGTCTTCGGTGGGGGCATAAGTAACCACGACCACCACTCCTCGCCTCCAGTTGATGGGAAGGCGAGCCCAAAGTAGCCTGGGGCTTACAGCTTCCCACACCTCACCACCACGCTCCCACGCCCCCTTCATTCTTTTGTTCAAAAGAAGAGCCACACCCTGTTGTTTGGCAGTCTGCTGCCCCGAGTAGAGGACTGTCCACCCTTCATGGTGGCAGGAGCCAGAACTGGTCCACTGGACCTCCTGAATGCCACAGAGATCCAGGCGGTACTGGTCCAGCTCCCGAAAGAGTGGCAGCCTCTCCTCCGCAGTGAGTGTTCGCACATTCCACGTGGCCATCCGTAGTGGCTTTTCGTTGTTTCTGGAGGAGCCCCGAGGGTAGAGATTCAATCTCCTGGCTCTGCCAATTGGGGTTTGGCCAGGAGACGTCATAGACGCCTGTCCCCCCGGGGCCTCCGGCACAAGCTTATTAGTTACATATTTAAGTTTAACTCGTGGTTTAGTGGTAATTAATTGAAGGTGGAGGGGTTACCAGCCCCTCGCACCCATCCAGAGCCCCCGTTAAGCCACTGTGGTGAACACAGACGCCATGAGGGGAGGAACCAATCGGAATTGGCCCTCCCCCCACAGCACTGTCCACGACAGCGTTGCCCGTCCGGCACCACGACGATTACACACACACACAATCACACACACACGAGCCAGATTGTGCTCCCGGTTGTACTTGGTCCTTCATGTGCTCGTGGGTTGTGACATGCTTACGGGTGTTGGGTGGTGTACATTGTCTGGGGGTTGTGTTGGTTATGTGTTCATGGAAAAAAAAAATTTTGGGTGCTCCGTTGATGTACATATTGTCTGGGCGATGGTTGCTGTTTGCTTTGTCGTTGGTTTTTTCGTTATTGTTACACAAAAAATTTTGTGAGGCTAATTTTGTTGTTGTTAAGAGTATAGTGATCAGCCGGGACAGCTGTGTTTTAGTGATGGAGGGACGTAAATGGTGTCACTAGGCTGTTCGTGCCAGCTGCTGTTACAGGAGTGCAGCTGTGTGTCTGGAGCCTCTCTCTAGAACCAGAGTGGGTACGGCATGTCAACCAGCCCTACGGGGCGTGGTCATGGTGGTGGCCTGAGTGAACCCGGGAGGGCACGTGATGCTCCTACGGGAAAGGTCTCGAAGGGGGCGTGGCTAAAGGCGGAGCGAGGCCACGCTCAGAAGCATGAAGGGGCAGTCCCAAGAGAGAGAGAGAGAGAGAGCTGGGCTCGTCTGTGGAATCAAGCCTGGGTCCCGCTTATCATCGTCTCCGGGTCTTCGTCTAGAGTTAATTCGCTATTCACATAGTTAGCCACATTACCTACTATAGAACCCGAGTTACGTTCGGTGTTACCTGCTAGGGAATCTGTTAAATAAAAGTGTTGCCTCCCAGTCCAGAGTGTGTGCCTCCGTGTTGGTGAACAACACTACACATATACCAAATCTATTACAATTATATGCAGCATTGAAACCAGGGGTATACTTTAATATCCTAGTGTGTACGATGATCCAGCACAAGGGTGCCTGTGTTACTTTATACCACTTCTCACCTCATTATTGATCCTAGAAGCGGAGAGTTTCTTCTCAAAGATGACCAAGTAGAGAGCAAATAATGTCATGATGATGCCATGACCCAAATCCCCAAACATTACAGCAAAAAGGAACGGGAAGGTGATGAGTGTGTAGGGAGCTGCAAAGTCAAATAGCACCATCAAAACAAAACACTTCAGTTCATATCTCGGGACATTATGTCAAACATCACAACAAACGTATAGCCTTCAATTCATAAATATTCCATTCCAATGTATGACATATCAATATAAAATATGTAATATAGAGGACATACAAATGCAGCTATTGAAGAACAAACGCACCACTAATTAGCATGGTTGGCAAAAAAGTTCAATATGCATACATAAATGGTAAACACCGAAACAAACAAACAAAAGCATGTAAAAATCAGTTAAAAAACCGATTCACATGAGCATACAAAAGTAGTTCTAAACAAGTGTCAAACGTTTTCCACTACTTTCCTGAAATGTGAATAAATACAAAATTATCGCGCACAATTCCTGCAGCGCCACGTACCTGGGTTGACCTCCCTGTAGTCACCAACGCCATATGCATCCACGATGTTCTGGAAGCCCGAGGTGAACTTGTTGGTGCGGTTGAAGGTTGGTGGATTTTGCTCACTCACCATGCGGTTCAGAATGGAAGGCACAGTGGAGCCACTGCGCTCCTGCCAGCACACAGATCACGGCAATGCCAGTATTAGTAAATCGTAGTCCATCTGACCAGTATTCCATGATCATTTCTATTTTATTTATTACTTGTGTAGTGGGTTCACTTGAGAAACACACAAATTCAGGAGGCAACACGTTTATTCTACGACCACAACGGGGTAACTACATAACCAGTAACCATAACGGGATAACTACATAACCGGTAACCACCACAGGGTAACTATATAAATGGGTCAGGTCAGTCGGCACACTGCCTGACCCACGATGCCTAGCACGAAGACCAGAGACCGAGGAGAAGACGTAGCATGGCGGGTTCCATTCCAGCAGACAGCCCCGATGCAGCCCTTTTATGCCCCTCAGTGTGGCCCCACTCCGCCCTCGGACACGCACCCTTCGGGAACCTATGAGAAGGTTCTGGGTCACCTTCCACATGTCCCCTGCCTGGCTTTGCCCTAGGCCACGCCCCCTTCTGGAACTCACTAGAAGGTTCTGGGCCCTACAACATGCGCCCCCTCTGCCACCTTTGGCCTACATCCTCACCTTGCCCAATCACGTGCCTTTGCCAGCAAATCGGGCTCATACATCCAGTCCCCAGAACCATGCTCCCCTAGAGACCTCTTCCATGACATCATGTACTCTGCTGGCAGAGAGGGCTACTAGACACGCAATTCCTCTCTCTGTCGGTAGATGGCGCTAGGCGCCATAGTGACCCTTATATGTCACTACACTTGGATTTAGGAAGTAAGCTGTCAGTCGAAATCTTTGCCTTGGGCGTTTTGTTGGGAGTATGTGCGTACACCCCCTGTGAGTGGCTGGCTGAGGTGCCATCTGTTGAGGAAGTACTAAAGGCGATCCAGAGTCTGAGACCAGGAAAGGCACCGGGCAGAGATGATTTCCCAAGCGAAATGCTGAGGGAGGGTGGCGTTTGTGCACAGACTGCCCTACATGACATCATAAAAAACAGTCTGGACCACTGCACAAGTTCCGCAGGACTGGAAGGATGCCCTGGTGGTCCCTCTCTTTAAGAAGTGGGACCACACAGACTGTAATAACTACAGGGGCATCTCACTCCTCAGTGTGCCGGGAAAGGTCCTGGCAAGGATTATTCAACATCGCCTTGCTAGTTATGCTTAGGAGAGGCTTGTGGAGCCCCAATGCGGTTTTAGGAAAGGGCGGTCCTGCACAGATGCCAGATTTCCTGTCTGTCTGCTACAACAGAGGTGTAGGGAATTTCAACAAGACCTACATCTCTGCTTTATTGACCTGGTCAAGGCCTATGATACCGTGCTTTCGGAGTCCCTGACCCTCTGCTCACGATCATTAAGGACCTTCATGATGGTGACCGGGCCCGGGTAAAACTATGTGGCCGGGAGTCAGAGTCATTCCCTGTACACCTTGGGGTGCGACAGGGATGTCCTCTGGCTCCCACATTACTTAACATCTATTTTGACCACGTAGTTCGTGAAGCCTTCAATAGCTGTACCGGGGGAATTTCCATTTGGTACAGATATAATGGGAGGCTGATCGATGCCCGGGTACAGTCAAGGGATGGCTCCCTATTGGTCAACCACGTTATGTATGCCGATGATTTGGTAATTGCTGCTCATTCAGAGGAGGAGTTGGAGACGCTGCTGCTGAAACTGGAGCGTGCCACTAAGAGATCGGGCCTTACCATCAGCCCCACCAAAACTAAGCACCTGCCTGGGTATTTTGTACCATCGGGCACTACACCCCCACAACTCCCAATCGGTGATGGGGCAGTTGTAGAGAGAGTGGAGAGTTTCCCATACCTGGGTAGTGTGCTAATGACCGGCTCCGGTTTAACAGCAGAGGTCTCACTCGGAATCAGTCGAGCGGCAATATATTTTCATCGGTTGTGTAACACTGTGTGGAAGCTACCTGGTCTGTCGTTCCGCACGAAGCTTCAGGTCTTCTCGACCACGGTCATTCCATCCCTTCTCTACGCTTGCGAAACGTGAACCCCTAATGGAGCATCTTCGCCGGTTAGAAACATTTAGGCTGGCCTGCCTACGCTCCATCCTGGATTTAACCAGGCTGGATTGTGTGAGGAGCTCACAAATCCTCGAAAGATCTGGACAAAGTCCCATCGGTGAGCACCTCCGGCAGGCAAGGTTGCGTTGGCTGGGCCATGTAGCCCGCATGCCCAATCACCGCATGCCCAAACAGCTTTTGTTCGGCCAGATCGAGGGGGCTAAACGGACGCGGGACAGGATAGAGAAGAGATGGAGTGACGTGGTACAGGAGGATGTGGAGCTGAGTGGACTTGCTGATGACTGGTACCAGCAGTGTCAAGATCGGCCTCTGTGGAGGAGGCTCATGAAGGACGCTACTGGGCAGTTGGAGGAAGTCGCTCTCCAACAACAACGGAGGGCGGAGGAAAGACGCTCACAACAACGAGCGGAGCACCGGGTGGCTAAGGCACAGCAAGTTGGCACAGTAGGGGGGACAGGTGGTGCATCAGCCAGTCGTCTCGGTCATCTCAGTCAGTCGACCCGTGGCACCTGAGTCTGCCCCGTGATCTCCTGCCAGTGGGCGTTCGACACTTCACATGGCCTCAAGGTGCACTTGGCCTGGCACAAGCGTCGTGGTGACGTCACCAACAACAACGGAGGGCGGAGGAGCGACGCTCACAACAACGAGCGGAGCGCCGGGTGGCTAAAGCACAGCAAGTTGGCACAGTAGGGGGCACAGGTGGTGCATCAGCCAGTCGTCTCGGTCATCTCAGTCAGTCGACCCGTGGCACCTGGGTCTGCCCCGTGACCTCCTGCCAACGGGCGTTCGACACTTCACGTGGCCTCAAGGTGCACATGGCCTGGCACAAGCGTCGTGGTGACGTCACCGCCACTTAGTGGCGAATGGCGGTTGTTGTAGTTGTTGTGTGTGTACGTCGATGTGTGTGTGTGTGTTTAAGTCCATGTGTGTGAGTCGATGTGTGTGTGTTTGAGTCCATGTATGTGTGTAAGTCGATGTGTTTGTGTGTGTGGGTCGATGTCTGTTTGTGTGTAATTCGATGTGTGTGTGTGTCTTTTTCGCCCGGGCAACGCCGGGTACTTCCCGCTAGTATACATATATATTGAGAATATAAAAGCACACTTTTTTAAAAGGTTCACCTGTGATGTAATTATTAAATTACACAATTCTCTTTTGTACACTTTTTTTCTCCAGTTGTTTTTTAAGTGCTTTCAGTGTCATGCCATGATATTAGGAATTCATTCAGAAATCTGGGCAAAGCACTCTTATGGGTACAGTGAGGGAAAAAAGTATTTGATCCCCTGCTGATTTTGTACGTTTGCCCACTGACAAAGAAATGATCAGTCTATAATTTTAATGGTAGGTTTATTTGAACAGTGAGAGACAGAATTACAACAAATAATCCAGAAAACGCATGTCAAAAATGTTATAATTTGATTTGCATTTTAATGAGGGAAAAAAGTATTTTACCCCCTCTCCATCAGAAAGATTTCTGGCTCCCAGGTGTCTTTTATACAGAAAACGAGCTGAGATTAGGAGCACACTCTTAAAGGAAGTGCTCCTAATCTCAGCTTGTTACCTATATAAAAGGCACCTGTCCACAGAAGCAATCAATCAGATTCCAAACTCTCCACCATGGCCAAGACCAAAGAGCTCTCCAAGGATGTCAGGGACAAGATTGTAGATCTACAAAAGGCTGGAATGGGCTACAAGACCATTGCCAAGCAGCTTGGTGAGAAGGTGACAACACTTGGTGCGATTATTCGCAAATGGAAGAAACACAAAATATTTGTCAATCTCCCTCGGCCTGGGTCTCCATGCAAGATCTCACCTCGTGGAGTTGCAATGATCATGAGAACGGTGAGGAATCAGCCCAGAATTACACGGAAAGATCTTGTCAATGATCTCAAGGCAGCTGGGACCATAGTCACCAAGAAAACAATTGGTAACACACTACGCCGTGAAAAACTGAAATCCTGCAGCGCCCGCAAGGTCCCCCTGCTCAAGAAAGCACATATACATGCCCGTCTGAAGTTTGCCAATGAACATCTGAATGATTCAGAGGACAACTGGGTGAAAGTGTTGTGGTCAGATGAGACCAAAATGGAGCTCTTTGGCATCAACTCAACTCGCCGTGTTTGGAGGAGGAGGAATGCTGCCAATGACCCCAAGAACACCATCCCCACCGTCAAACATGGAGGTGGAAACATTATGCTTTTGGGGTGTTTTTCTGCTAAGGGGACAGGGCAACTTCACCGCATCAAAGGGACGATGGACGGGGCCATGTACCGTCAAATCTTGGGTGAGAACCTCCTTCCCCCAGCCAGGGCATTGAAAATGGGTCGTGGATGGGTATTCCAGCATGACAATGACCCAAAACACACGGCCAAGGCAACAAAGGAGTGGCTCAAGAAGAAGCACATTAAGGTCCTGAAGTGGCCTAGCCAGTCTCCAGACCTTAATCCCATAGAAAATCTGTGGAGGGAGCTGAAGGTTCGAGTTGCCAAACGTCAGCCTCGAAACCTTAATGACTTGGAGAAGATCTGCAAAGAGGAGTGGGACAAAATCCCTCCTGAGATGTGTGCAAACCTGGTGGCCAACTACAAGAAACGTCTGACCTCTGTGATTGCCAACAAGGGTTTTGCCACCATGTACTGAGTCATGTTTTGCAGAGGGGTCAAATACTTATTTTCCTCATTAAAATGCAAATAAATTTATAAAAATTTTACATGCGTTTTTCTGGATTTTGTTGTTGTTATTCTGTCTCTCACTGTTCAAATAAACCTACCATTAAAATTATAGACTGATCATTCCTTTGTCAATGGGCAAACGTACAAAATCAGCATGGGATCAAATACTTTTTTCCCTCATTGTAAGTGAATGGCTGTAGGAGATATTTTCATAAGATTTTTTCCAAAATTCTTCAAGTGGCCTTTCACCTTTTGCACTTGAGTGATTTACTTTAACATGCATTCTTCTAGGAGAGTGTTGCATTTTCATAATA